TGGTGTCGTTAGAAACAGGAAACAAACAGGAAATAAACAAATAAAACACCTGTGGTGTCGTTAGAAACAGGAAACAAACAGGAAATAAACAAATAAAACACCTGTGGTGTCGTTAGAAACAGGAAACAAACAGGAAATAAACAAATAAAACACCTGTGGTGTTGTTAGAAACAGGAAACAAACAGGAAATAAATAAAACACCTGTGGTGTTGTTAGAAACAGGAAACAAACAGGAAATAAATAAAACACCTGTGGTGTTAGAAACAGGAAACAAACAGGAAATAAATAAAATACCTGTGGTGTCGTTAGAAACAGGAAGTAAAAACACCTGTGGTGTCGTTAGAAACAGGAAGTAAATAAAACACCTGTGGTGTCGTTAGAAACAGGAAGTAAATAAAACACCTGTGGTGTCGTTAGAAACAGGAAGTAAATAAAACAGCTGATTCAGAAGCAAACCAGGGAGAAATCTTTTTAAATTTTTTCTTTTATTTTCCTGTTTATAGAAGAGATCCAACCGTTTGATGCTGTTTGCCATGACGACAGGTGTTTACCTTTGCTTCACCAACAGATCAGTTGTTTTTAATTAGAATAAAAAAATAATAAAGATGCTACATAAAATATTTACAACAAACAGAAACATTCAGGGTTTCCAGAACAAATGATTCAAATGTTTTAATATTTTCAGCCTGATGAACATTTGGGTTCATTAAGAAAAATAAAAATAAAGATTAAGCAAAATCATGAGTCAGCTGGTTTCATAAAGAAAGTGGTTTCAATTATTCATGTCTGTCCATCAGAGGATTAAGCAAAATCATGAGTCAGCTGGTTTCATAAAGAAAGTGGTTTCAATTATTCATGTCTGTCCATCAGAGGGACACCTGGACACGTCTCAGTCCATCACAGAGACAAAAAGATAACATGCACCTTTAGTCCTGAATCTAACGTATGTTTTTGGTCTGTGGGAGGACACCAGGGGGACACCAGGGGGGACATCATATCCTGGGCCCTCCTCTTTGAGAGGCGTCAGCTCTAACCCCAGCACAAACAAAAACAAACAAACATCATGGGTCAACGTTGGAGACTCTGTCCACGCTGAAATAAGACAAATAAATCATGAAGACAAACAGGACATTTATGTCCACAGAGCGTTTACAAGCTTTAACAAAGTCTAAGTCTCCTCGGACTCCCCGATCCAGTCAGGACTTCCTGTCTCTGCAGGTCTGAGTTTCAGATCGACTCGTTTGACAAAGTCCCAGTCCTTTTGTCCTGAAGCGAGCCGGACCTGAGCCTGTCAACGTCCAAACAAAAAACACATCCAGCCTCGTGTCTCCTCCAGAGGACACAGGCGTCCACCAAACTGCACGTCCCAGAGGGACCTGAAGGTGTCCTCTTGGTTTCTTCTACAAAGACGAGAGGAACCTGGACCTCGTGAAGAAACCTAATCAGAACCTCTGGACCATTGTTTGAGTTTTTACATTTTGGCTGAAACTCTGGTTAAATTCCTTGTGTCTTCGTCCTCCTGTGTCCTCCTGTCCTCTGATGATAAAACAGAGGGACAGGTGGATTATAATCTGGGATTATGAAGAGTTTTTTTGTTTGATTTATAAATAATTTTACAGATTAATTAAGTTAAAACTGAACATCGCCCCCTTTGTTTTGAAGCCCCGCCCATTTTCCTTTAGCTACTGTTTTTTGCTACATTTAGCTTTTCAGCTGTTTTAGTAAGATCCACCTGATCCGACGGACCAGAACCGACTCCAGCTGGGGGTGAAAACTTTTGCACCTGCTGGACGGTTATTAAAACTTTACCTCCTCCATCCCTCCTCTCAGAGCGGCCTCTTCTTCGTTTCGGGTCTCCTCAGGTCTCCCACTGTGTTCATGTGAACAGAAGCAGAAGCTCAGTCTGACCCATGAGCAGGATTCAAACCCACAACCCGTCCTCTTTTAAACTCAACACAGCTTTTTTATCAAGACAACGAGAAAAACAACAAATGAAACGAGGTTCAGGTTTTACTGCAGGCGGTTCCGAAGGGTTCAACAGTGTCCATGAAAGCACGGCGGGGTGGATGACATCACTTCCTGTTACCTCGATGCAGAGAGAAGATTCTGACGCTGCTCCTCTCCAGCAGAGTGAAGGGTCTGCTGTGGCCCGCGGGCAACGACGCCGCGGGGTCCGCAGGGTCCGCCTCGCAGGTCAGCGCCAAGATGGGGTTCTGCTCAGCGATCAGATGCACCCGGGCGCTTTTCTGAAACAGGAAGTGGAAACTTTCACAATAAAGCCATCAGGAAAGTCTCGTTTCTTCTGCTGATTTTAGTTTATTAAACATGTTTCTAACATTTAAATCTTTCTCTACTTCTTTATTTCTCT